GCCGCCCGAGCGCCCGGACCTGTGCCGCCCTTCGCCGATGCCGCGCCCCGGCGACCGTGTCCCTCCTCCTTGACCTCCTCGGCATCCGCGCCGTCGCTGGAGGAGCTCGCCGCCGGTGTTGACCTGCCCTTGGACGAGATCCACCAAGTCCTCTAACCAAACGGCGCCCCGATCCCGGATCTCTTCGTCCCACTTCATCATTGTACCTTTGTTTCATGCGCATGATATGTCAAATTGTTCATCCGGATGCCCTCTTCATTTCATTCCATTGCACCATGCTTGTTTGAGTCCATCTTGATGCCCTAATTGTTGTTCCAAGAGTGCTATAAAATGTTAGGTGTTGTTTCTTATCAGTTTATGAGCATTTGTCATTTTTGCGATGATTAATGTGTGCCTCCTATGAACTTGAGCCCTACATGTGTTTTGGGCTATGCCATGCCATCTTTACAGGGGTGTATGCCATGTATTTTTGTGATCAATGTGGTAACTAGCACAAGCATGCAAAGTAGCTCTCGTGATGTTGCTGATTTCAGAGACTTAGAATTTCACAAAGTCTGTCTGCTGTTATTTTATGCCATGTATTGATGTTGCTACAGAGTGATCCATGCCTTGTTTGAGTATGTTCAGTAAGGATGATTTTGAGATATTGTTATGCTCTATCCATCCATGTCTTTGTTTGCAATTATGGAGTACCCTAGCATGACTCAATCTTGCTCTACTTTTGCTATAAAATGTTCCTGGCAGATTGTTGACGTGTTAATCAATTTTTCCAAGGTTGTTGTAGTTGATCCATGTATGCTATGAGATTGTTCTTGCCATGTTTATCTTCTTGATCATGTCCTCTTGCTGTGCGTATGCTTAGTTTTTCATGTAATGCCTTGTGGTGAGTGCATCGATCTCGCAAACATGCCTTCATAATTATGTTTATGCCATGCCCAGTTTTCTGCTAAGTCTGAATCTGTTAACGAAACTTCCTATGTTTACCTGGGTGTCATCATATCTTCTGATCCTTTTTGGCTTATGGTAAGTAAGTGACTTTTATTATATGCTTTGAGTAGATTCATTCCATGCCTTGTATTGCTATGATCTGATCCTATAGCATGTTGTTATCTTGCTCTAAACATTGCTTCCTGATGTTAACTCCTGACATGTTATTTTCACTAAGTCTGTGATGCTGTTATCTTTTGCACTTTTGCCATGCTTGTTTGAACCTGCTCTTGTGTGATTTAGCCGTAGCTCAGTGTTCATCTTTTGTCAAGCATCTTGAGTAGATCACTGCCGTGTGCTTTGTTGCTATGTTGGAGTGCAGTAGCTTAGTTTCTTGTTGCATTCTAGATGGCATTGTGCTGTTAATCACAGGATCGTGCCATTATTGTTTTGCTAGCCATTTGTAAACCGTGCATCCGATTCCGGTGATCTTTATATCGATTTCGACCAAAATAAACTCATCTTTCCAGCGGCATGCTTGGTTTGCCAAGTTGAGGCCTAGTTCAATCTTTCCCTTCTGAAGCACGCGTATGCATTGCATATCACATCCCACATATCATGCCATGTGTTGCAACATGTTGCTTGCGCATTGCACCGTGGTTTATTGTTGTTCCCTTTTCTTGTGTTCTTGCCTTGGGTAGAGCTGGGAGACGAGTTCGTGTTCGAGGTACCCGTTGAGTACGCTTACGAGGATCAAGCTTTCGTCTTCTCGGAGAACTTTGCAGGCAAGATGGCCATACCCTCGAAATCACTTCTATCTTTGCTTGCTAGTTGCTCGCTCTTTTGCTATGCTGCGATACCTACCACTTCCTATATCATGCCTCCCATATTGCCATGTCAAGCCTCTAACCCACATTTCCTAGCAAACCGTTGTTTGGCTATGTTACCGCTTTGCTCAGCCCCTCTTGTAGCGTTGCTAGTTGCAGGTGAAGATGGAGTTGTTCCATGTTGGAACATGGATATTTGTTGGGATATCACAATATCTCTTATTTTAATTAATGCATCTATACACTTGGTAAAGGGTGGAAGGCTCGGCCTTATTCCTGGTGTTTTGTTCCACTCTTGCCGCCCTAGTTTCCTTCATACCAGTGTTATGTTCCTTGATTTTGTGTTCCTTCTGCGGTTGGGTTATAATGGGAAACCCTTGACAGTTCGCCTTCAATAAAACTCCTCCAGCAAGGCCCAACCTTGGTTTTACCATTTGCCACCTAGCCATTTTCCCTTGGGTTCTGCAGACTCAAGGTTCATCTTTATTTTAACCCCCCTGGGCCAGTGCTTCTCTAAGTGTTGGTCCAACCTGAGCGATGTCCGGCGCCCCCATGGGCAACCAAGGTTTATGCCAACCCGACGTCTTGCTCATCCGGTGTGCCCTGATAACGAGATACGTGCAGCTCCTATCGGGATTTGTCAGCACATCTGGGTGGCTTTGCTGGTCTTGTTTTACCATTGTCGAAATGTCTTGTAACCGGGATTCCGAGTCTGATTGGGTCTTCCAGCGAGAAGGAATATCCTTCGTTAACTGTGAGAGCTTGTGATGGGCTAAGTTGGGACACCCCTGCAGGGTTTTGAACTTTCAAAAGCCGTGCCCGCGGTTATGGGTAGACGGGAATTTGTTAATGTCCGGTTGAATAGAACTTGACTCTAAACTTAATTAAAATGCAGCAACTGCGTGTGTAGCCGTGATGGTCTCTTTCCGGGGGAGTCCGGGAAGTGAACACAGTTCTTGTGTTATGCTTGAACGTAAGTAGATTCATGATCACTTCTTGATCACTTCTAGTTCACGATCGTGCTTTGCTTCTCTTCTCGCTCTCATTTGCGTAAGTTAGCCACCATATATGCTAGTGCTTGCTGCAGCTCCACCTCACATACCTTTTACCTACCCATAAGCTTAAATAGTCTTGATCGCGAAAGTGTGAGATTGCTGAGTCCCCGTGACTCACAGATTACTTCCAAAACCAGTTTCAGGTGCCGATGATACCGTGTAGGTGACGCAACCGAGCTCAAGGAGGAGCTCAATGAAGATCGTGTGCGTTGTGTTGTTTCGTCTCCAGTTGATCAGTAGTGGAGCCTAGTCGGGGAAATCGGGGATCTTGCATTAGGGGTGGTCTTCTTTTATTTTGGTTTCGTAGTCGGACCTTGATTGTATTCTGGATGATGTAATGGTATATTTATGTATTGTTTGAAGTGGCGATTGTAAGCCAACTATTTATCCCTTCCTTATTCAGTACATGGGATGTGTAAAGATTACCCCTCTTGCGACATGCCTACCATGCGGTTATGCCTCTAAGTCGTGCTCCGACATGTGGGAGATATAGCCGCATTGTGTTTGTTACAGGTTGCTAATTAGAGCCTTCCCCGACTTAGGAGCCCCCTGCTTGATCGAATCGCTGGCGTTGTTGAGTCTAGAAAAATGTTTTGAGTCTTATAGGATTATATATATCGGAGAGTAGGATTCTTTTTACTCCTCAGTCCATTCGTCGCTCTGGTGAGGCCTCCTGACGTAGAGTTTTGAGTCTTCTCTTCCCAAATTTCAGTAAAAAAAATTAGGATCATGCGGGTATCTTGGAATCGTTCTGATGGTTTTGTGATGAGAACATTGTTCTTGGTGCCTCCTGACATTTAGGGGTTGTGGCAGTGTCCCAGGGAGTTGAGCTTCGAGGTGTTGTCGTCACAATTTTATCGTTGCAGTTCTGGAATACCTGAGTTTCGCCGACATCGAAAATCTCTTTTTTGCAGTTGTTGGTGAGATAACCTCGACGCCACCCAGTACTGGGGCGGGAGTTCGGGAGTATTGCCATAACTTGTATAACGGATGCTTTTCGAAGGTTGAGGTAAATGATTTCCGAAGGTTTATTGGTTATGTGTTGAAGGATGGATACAGCTGGATGTAGGATTTGCTAGTTTTGGGTGAGATATTATGCTTCCCATGTATCCCCAACACCTGATTGCATAACCGGAAAGTTTTGGGAGTTTATAAGTGGGAATTCAAGTAACTCCTAGGATATCTTTCCGACAAATGCATGATACGAGATTGGGGTTCGACGTCTAGTGGTCCGCCTCTCCACGGTTGGTTTTACAGTGGCCTCGTTGTGTCTTAAAGAGTCCTTGGCTATGCTGACTCCGGGACGCTTCGTATGTCATGTGCACTGCCTTGTACATGATGGTGTTGTTCGATCGAGCCCGTGTGGGCCCCACCATGAAAACTTCAGATGAAATCTCTATCACATGTTATTTCGGCTTATTTTGCAAGTGAATCCTTTGTTTTGTTTTCAGTTGTGGTATTCGAGTTGCTTCGAAGTCAAATGTTGATTCCATACCTTTCCTAAGTGGTGTTCTCGTATTTCTATGTGAATAGCAATCCCTCTTGATAATCAAGATTGTCATGTCAATCCTTTTTCAACCGGTGTGCATCTCTTCAAGTGGATCCGATCATTTTCAACATTCGCAAGATCAACTCTAAGTCTTCTCAAGGGTGTTTGTTTCATTCGTCCCAAGTTGTCTTTGTTTTTCCCGCCCTCCCACCCTGATCAACACATTTCACATACATCTTTTGGCAATCAAATATGTGGTTTTTGAGTTTTATTCATTCATTTCTTGCTATGAATTGTTGAATTTGTGAATGATAATCATATAAAGAATGATTTACTAGTCATTTGTTCCTTTTGCAGAAAAGTGCGCAAAGGCACTATAAACTTCAAGATCCGGACTAGTGGTTAAGAGAACCAGTCAAGTGAAAAGAAAGAAGAAAGATAGAGGGCCTTGTGTGTGAAGAAATGATGCTCCAGGAGACAAGTTAAAGAAGAAAGGGACCTTCTTGTGAAGAAAGAAGAAAAAGAGAAGGGCCAAAATTGCAAAGTGGCACATCAGAGGAGGGGTCAAAATCCCTAGCGGCTGCCGATCCCCTTCGGGTCTGGCTACACCTCTCTCTCCCTCACCCCACCTTCTCCACCACCGGCCGCCGCCTCGGCCAGGCCGGCGTGGCGGAGCGCCACCGCTCCATCACCAGCATCCACCAGCACCAATCCATCTCCACACCGCCGCCAGCACACACCGCCCATCCATCCAGCCACCAGAGCCATCGCATCACCACCGCGCCTCCACCCCACGCTCGCACGCTCGACCAGACGAGGTGCCTGGTGCCCCACGCGACCATCCCCATACTGCTACTGCTCTTCCCACGTCCCTGATGCTGCTCTGCTTGCGCCCGATCTCTGCTGCTCCTTCTCCAATCTCCTGCTGCTTCTCTTCTTCTATCCCCAAAACTGCTACTGCTCCCCATCCTCACGTCCTTGCTGCTCCTCTTTCTTCAATCTTGCTGCTGCTTCCCCCATGCCTATGCTTCCTTTCTTCTCCTTCACTTTCTGTCGGCTGCTTCTCCTTCTTCAACACCTTCTGCTGAATCTCTCTCTCTCAACCTCCCTTTGCTGCTGCTCTCTCCTCAATCTTGCTGCTGCTATATCTCTTTCTCCCTCTCTTCTCTGAAATTTCTTTAAAATTTGAGACGTGTAGTACATGGAATATTCAGATTTGATAAGATCTTGCAACCTGGTAATTGTTCAGTTTCGTACTTGTATAATATGGTGCATCTTATTATGTGTTCTGGCTAGTTGATGTCTACTTGCTTTGGAAAACATTTGGTATGTTTAATTTGATCTATGAATTAGTGGTCTGCTAGCTCATATGTGAGTTCACCCTGTGTCTTTTAATTCCAGTTCATGTGTGTATTGTCACTGGTGTGTTCCCTTTTCTACAGAAATATATTCAGATTCGTAGTTCATGTATTACTCAAGTTCTTGTGAGATAAATGTTTGTGATATATGCCTACTATAATTGTTTGTGTTGTGATACAATTTTGTCCCTGTCATATTAGCTTGTTTCTTCCTCTTGTCATATGCTTGATAGTTATATATGTGTCCTTGTCATATTATTTCCCTTTGTGTTAGTGTTTTAGATTCTCAAGTACAATGAAAATACCAAAAAGATATTGAGTAAAATCTGAATCTCCCTTTGCTGATTGTCGTTTTCTTTGTCAACGATCTTCGGGAACAACCTTGTTTAGTGTAGGTTTATTTTCTTGCATTCATAATCTGTATTATGTCACCTAGCTTTAGCACGATCATCGATTTGCCTAGTCCCTGTGGGGAACACGACACTCGCAGTTTGGGCGAAAAAACCCGCTGTACTTTCAATCGATTACACCCCTTGTTTCTTCAAGGACTCGGAGTTCTTAATCAAGTATCCATCTTATGGACGTGAAGACTTTTCATTCTTGTCTTTCAATGTTCTTACCCGGTGGTTCTCATGAAGATGTTCTACTAGTTCATCATTCTTCGTTCTCTTTCTTCTCCGGTGGATTCAATGCAATATTTCGGTGTTGATCATATCCTTTCCTCGTTTCAATGCTTTCTCATGCCGGTGCACCTCTTAATCATCCACTTCTCATCATTCATTTGTTCTGGAGTGCTGAAGATATCTCGAAGATTCGTGTTTCCACTCTGCTTTCGTTCAAGCTCTTTCGAGGATGTTATCTCATTCAAGCCATTTAATTCAACCGGTGCAATCACTCTTCAATTCATTTCAACTGTGTTTCTTTTGAGTGGGCCCTAACCCACAGGTCTTTTCCCAGGATCTTACCTGACTCTTCTAATTTTCCCGGAGCTTCTCAAATTCTTTCAAAGTGTGACGTAAGAAAGAATTATCATCAGTCATAGGTAATTTTTTTCCAAGATCTTTCAAATTCTTTTCACCGTTGGCTCAATCTTTCTATTCGTCGCCTCAGAGTATATCAGCAACTCATGGTCGTGTTTCTCGTCGTCATTCTCAACATTTGAAGACCGAAGAAGAGTTTCTCTTAAATCTTGCTCCATTCTCTTCAATATTCATGGTGCTAGCTTTATGCCATCCTCTCATAATTGTTTCGATCGTGAGAATTCTTTTCATCCTTCCGGAGCAATTCAGGAGTCTTTGAAGTTTGATTCTCCGGAGCCCATCATTCTCAGCCTTCAGCTATTGTTCTCCAAATCTTACTGATGTCATTCAAATATTCTATAATCAGCTCATGATATCTTCGTTCTCTTGTATCAAATTCCCTCAAGTATCTTCATTCGTTCTCTATTTCTTACCGGTGATTCATCCCTTTACTTCATTCATTTCTAATTCTTACGGTGGTTTGTTCAAGAGTTCTTCTCTTTCGTTATCATACATATTCATTCGTTCTTTCATCCTGCAGGTGGATCATCGAAGACCTTCTCAAGTTTGTGCTATATCTCTCTTAATCCTTTCTACGAGAATGAGTAGTATGCCAAATCCGTTGCTTGTCATCAATTTAATTGATGAGGGATAAGCATAATGTAATTCTTATTCTTATTTCATCGAGTAAATTCAATTCCTGCTTTCCGGAGTGGTTCATCACAACACATTCTCGGTTCGAGATGCTTTATATTTTCTTTTCCCGGAGTTCCTAGCTCTCGCAATTATATCACCACGGAGATTCATCTAAATCATTGCAAGGATTCACCTTGTGTTTTCAACTTCTCTTTCCTTTCATGTCATCATCCTTTTGTTACCAGAGTTCTTCATGAAGGTTCTACATGATGGTTCATCAAGGATTTAATTCATTCTCGAAGTGTTCACTGAGATTCTTTTCAGAGGAGCTCAAGCATTCTTCATCTCACATTCCAAAGTGCAATTATTTCTACCGTATCATTGGAGGTGGTATTATGTCATTCTTGATAATTTGAGTTCATGTTTCATGATTCACATGTTGTTAAGAATGAGGTATTTTAAATCCACCAATCTCTTCATTCGAGTTATCTTGGGTTATATTTCACCTAAAGCTTTCCCTAAGGATTGTTGCTTTTATGGTGCTTATAAATGACCCAAGGCCTTCATTTATCCTTCTGGTGAGATAAGCTTCTGATCTCCTTGTTCATATCAATCCAATCTATTATTTTTCATTAGTGGCATAATTTCACCTCATAGTTTTGAGATGTTTTCCATAAGCCCACAACAAGCTTATCCTTTTCGTTGTTGTTAATCCAACAACTCCGTTCTTGCATATGTTGTAAGCATGCTCTCTCAAGATCTTGTTTTCTCCTCCGTTCATTCCATTTCATTCTCTCATTTCTTCCGGAGGCATTGTGATGCTGCTCTCTTCGACCCATCATCTTGTTTGTCAAGATCTTGTTCATTTCCTTCCATTTACAGTCGAAGTGCTGTCCAAATTATATCAGTCTTATTCCTTCTCTATCTTGTTTTAACCGGAGTGTTGTGTATATCATTCCTCTTCTAACCGGAGTCTCATCCAAGTGCTTTCATACTGCAAAGCTCATATTCTTTACCTTCCATTTCCAACCGGAGTGTTGCCGTAATTGATCTTTATCATTCCTTGTACATCTCGTGTCAACCGAGGTGCTTGCATCTACTTCTTGTCCATTGTAACATTTTCTTATGTCTTTCAACCCATAAGGTTCTCGTAATGTTCCTTGTTCCTCTTTTCTAACGGAGTGCTCTCAACTTCGTTCATCTTCGTTGTATTCTTTTCTCGAAGTTGTTCAACCTTTCAAGGTTCTTTGGTTTCACTCGTTTGTCAAAGAAGCAACTTAGTTTTACCTCTTCTCTTCCTCTTCCGTTTTCCCTATCGGTGCCATCCTAGATCTCCGGACGAGATCCTCTCGTAGTGGTGGAGTGTTGTAATGCCCCCAGACCGATGTGCCAGGTGTCTTCCAGTTATTCGATGTTGTTGCCTTGTCATTTGTTTGCATGTCATGCTTTTCATATCATGTCATCATGTGCATCGCATATGCATACGTGTTCGTCTCATGCATCCAAGCATTTTCCCCGTTCTCTGTTTCGCAATCCGGCACTCCTATGCCCTCCGGTGCCTCCTTTTTCCTCTTTTCCTGAGCTGGTGTTATACTTTCTCGGAATGGATCAAGATTTGCCAAGCGGCCTTGGTTCACTACCGGTAGACCGCCTGTCAAGTTCCATGCCATTTGGACTCCGTTTGATACTCCAACGGTTAACCGGGTGACCGTAAGGGCCTCGTGAGTGTTGCAGCCCAACACCCCTCAAAAGTGGCCCAAAACCCATCCAAACCCCCTCCATCCTCTCGGTCGTTCAATCACGATCGCGTGGCCAAAAACCGCACTCCATTTGGACTCTCCTAGCTCCCTCTACCTATAAATATGTGTCTCCCTCCGAATTTTTCGCGCATTACAAACCCTAACCTAGCCTCTCCTCGCGCCGCCGAACATTTCTTCCTCCGCCGCCGGACATGTCCAGCCTCCACCTCGCTCCGTCCAATCCGCGAGCGCCATGTCAGCTCCACCGCCGCCCTCGCCCACTCATATCGCGCCACCTGTCGCCGCCACTTCCCACCACCGCGCGGCCCGCGGAGCCCATCACGGGCCCGCACGGGCCCGGTCGCCGCCGCCGCCCGCAGGCGCGTGCCCGCACCCGCACCCGCCGCCACGCCCGCTCGCCGGAATCGCCATTCACCGTTGCTGGAATCGCCCTTCGAGGCTCCTGCCGCCGACTGCACCGTCCCCGCCGCCCGGAGGCCCGCGCCGCGCCGCCTCCCGCACCATGGCCGCCGCTCCGCGTCGCCTTCCTCCTGCGAGTGCACCGTGCCGCCCGAGCGCCCGGCCCTGTGCCGCCTTTCGCCGGTGCCGCGCCCCGGCGACCATGTCCCTCCTCCTCGAGCTCCTCCTTGACCTCCTCGGCATCCGCGCCGTCACCGGAGGAGTTTGCCGCCGGCGTTGACCTGCCCCTGGACGAGATCCACCAAGTCCTCTAACCAAACGGTGCCCCGATCCCGGATCTCTTCATCCCGCTTCTCTCCGTCCCGCTTTTTGCGGAGGTGAAATTCCACTAAGTCCCAGATCTAGGTAATTTTCAGGCCATGTTCATCGCATCATAACTTCATCATCGTAGCTCCGTTTCATGCGCATGATATGTCAAATTGTTCATCCGGATGCCCTCTTCATTTCATTCCATTGCACCATTCTTGTTTGAGTCCATCTTGATGCCCTAATTGATGTTGCAAGAGAGCTATAAAATGTTAGGTGTTGTTTCTTATCAGTTTATGAGCATTTGTCATTTTTGCCATGATTAGTGTGTGCCTCCTATGAACTTGAGCCCTATATGTGTTTTGGGCTATGCCATGCCATCTTTACAGGGGTGTATGCCATGTATTTTTGTGATCAATGTGGTGACTAGCACAAGCATGCAAAGTAGCTCTCGTGATGTTGCTGATTTCAGAGACTTAGAATTTCACAA